TCATAACTGGCCTTATGTGTGCACGAAATGTTGAACGGCTTCACACCATTTGAGTAGTCGGGATGGCAGATTCTGGCCTCCCTTTGATTTGAGTCCTTATTTTTAATTATTAAGGCTTGTGCAGTCCCCCATTTGTCAATTTACGAAGTCCAAATTGGTCTTACGAAGGCTTAAACATTTGGTGAACTGATTGTCTGGCTTAGAACAATCCTCCCAAGTGTTTGGCGTACTCCTTAAGTCGTGTCCAATTGGATGCCATTGGCTGCGCACGAGTATTTCCCCTCAAGGCAAGCACACGGGCGAGAGCTTAGCCCTGACACCCTCTCTAGCTGCGCGTGCGGACGTGCGCCTCTGACCGCTCGTGCGTGCCCAATATGAGTCACCGTCTAACAGCAGGCCTGTCAACTGGGGTGGGCTATCACTCCCGTATGACTGCGTTTTCCCTCTTTAGAGCATTCCGAACCTTTGGTACAGGACGCAGAGACGGCAGGCTACCGCGTGGTTCCACCACCCTCACCAGACACCACACATGACCTTTTCTCACCATCTCCAAGCCACGCAAGGCAGTTCTTTGGTCCTGCCGGCAGTCCTGTTGGCAGCGGCTGCGGCAGCGATGATTGCCTCTCGTCGAACGCACCTCTTTCTCGTGTACTCATGGTGGTGGCGACCCTAGTCAACTGTGTTACTCCACCTTACCTTGCAGGTCTACCGCCCCCTTTGGAGGAGGACGATGACGAAATTGAGCAGGTGTATCTCTTGTGATGGCTGTTGTCTTACTATCTGTTTAATGTTGAACGGTTATCAAGCCGCATGATCCAATAAAGCATATTTAAGCATCATTTGTTAAAGCTATATGCCCAACCAACTTTTAGCTGCTTCTGCTAAAAGCTTTTTGTTTTAAGTGTTCTTCGTGCATCTAGGACAGTTTCCATGCGTTTCAGTGTCGACTTGGACCGAAGCACCAACAGCTGATCCGATCATTGGATCACAATTTTTAACCAACTTTGCTCTTTCATCACCTCACCAGTTGCCTTAGCCCTGTGCTATCAAAAATGCTTCATGGCCGAAGTTTTGTCGATTTTCAAAAAGTTGATCCGTAAACGGTGTTTTTTACTCTTAGTTACAATATTGACTGCCTTAAGGACAAATCTTGGCAGTTAGATTAAATTTTGTTTTTATGCATTTTCATGCATCAAGCAGTCAAATTTCGTGCTTGCCCCAGCAACTTGTACTGAAATCTATTATTTTGAGCAATCGATTTGCGGTAATTCATTGACTGGTAGATTAGTTCTTAATTTTTCTGTGCTCTCGACTTTTACCTTCGGAAAATCTGCTGGAGGTTGTTTCGAGTTTACTTCGCTTATTGACATATTTTAATTAATTTTGCTGGATATGATGCGTTTGTGTATCTCTTATTAGTTCGTTTCCAGAATTATGCTGTAGAGTAGGATTGAATTTTGCAAATATGGACTGGCTCATACCTTTATCATTTTGAAGTTACCTGTAGACATTGTTCTTATATTGCTCGAATTTTTCTAAGTGGATGTTATATCTCAACACTTTCGTGCGATGGTAGTAAGTCTAGCTTTGTTGCTGTTACTGTAGGTGATGGCATTCGCCTCAGTTAAGGGGCGTCGCTCGGCTTCCGGGGGCGGTCTCAGTGAGACTGGCGGGCGTCCATTCCGGGGTCGGAGTCTATTCCCTGGTCCTGGCCTTATCCCCCCACTCTCCGCTTGGCGAGAGAATGCTCGCTTTCTTTCTTCGCAGCCCTCTGCTCTACGTTTCGCCTTCCTCTGCGCTTACGCACGTCATTCCGCTCTTCGTCAACTCGGTCTTCAGTTGGTCAGTGGGCTGCGATATCCCCTCGTCTCCACCACTTCTACCTCTGTCGCACCCGCCTCTGTACGAGTGCCACGCCCACTACATCTGAATACCTTCACTGGCATTGAGCTGGTCACCTTGCGCTTCCTCGTTCGCTGTCTCTTCCAGTCCGCCGATCGGTGCGATCTCCTCGCCGGTAAGCCTTCTCTCCTGCACGCCACCGGGTTGCGTCCCGTGTGGGCCAATCACAGTCACCTTGCGCAGCTATTGGCTACAGCTGTTCCTGTTTGTATGTGGGTGTGTGTGGAGCGATCAGCTGTCCTTTCGCGTGACACGGTATATGCGGATGCTATTGCTTTGAGTGTAGCGTCGTCAGATGGCACAACATACACACACACACACACACGTAGGCAATGAATGGATTCCTGGCATTGACGATACATTATATCTTGGGTCGGATGCTCAGCGGAGGTTCTGCAGGGGACGAGAGTATGCAGAAAAGGATGGTGGGATGTTAACCATGAAGATATGGACGAAACTGAGTTCCATCCCATAAACTGAAGTACTTACTTGGCTGTAACAGAGAGCGACGATAGCCTTCTTTTGCAATGAGTCCCAATCTAATAATTCAGCACTATTACTCATCAGCCACCTTGCATGAACATTGGGAGGGTACTTGGAAAATTCAACTCCCATCTATTTAGTTGACATGCATGGAAGGGCGTTTACATCGAGTGGTTCTACCAATATAGGATCAGTCGCCCTTTTTGGACCAGCTCATACACATCACATTACAAAGGGATCCAGATCCAACCAACGTAGGTATAATCGTGAAGATTCCATTTGGCAACCTTTAATAAAAGAGTTTTAATAATTCATTCTCACTTGATTTTAAATGATTAGTTTCTCTAGCCTTGCTTTAATTTAATTCTTTTGCAATCCTAAAGCGCTTTCACTTTTGAATCAATTTGTCCTTTCTGTTGATGCCTTGACAGTGAAGGAGAAAACTAGCAGACATCGGATGTCACTTGTCTGCTCGGTCTCATATTACTTAT